ACGTTGCTGACTGTCACTCTAGTGTCTTCTCAACGAGCGCGCCAGATGCAGCAACAGATGCGCCGGCGAAGGAGGAGGCCTCTGAATAGATCCCCATTTCGATGCAAAGATTGTTCATTTTCACCGGTGTGGGCTAATTCAGGCACGTTGCGGTCTTGGTCATTCTCCCGCAGCCGGCGCTGCCACGCAGGCTCTGTGCTCAGAATTCATTTCCACCCATGGCGTCTGTCTCGTGGGCGTCCTTTTTCACGTCCGCTTCCCCATTCTCATCTCCTGTTGGAAACCCCCAGTCATCATTATGTACTTTAGCTCACAGGATCAACCAAATCACTCGGCAGGCGTCTCAAAAAGTCAGGGATCTATTTCGGACTCGACCTTGGCTTTCGAGATCGACCTGACGCCTCGTTCGAAGATCATAGATAGGAATGCAGATCGTTCACTCATGGTAGTCTGGCAAATTTTATTCGTATGCGTCTGAAGCTATATGATATCTACACTATTGAGAAGATGAGCTTCCATTTCGCAAGGAATCTCAAGCCAGCCCAGAAAAGTATATAAAGGTGCCCTAGGTTTGTTTTTCAAAGCCAATAAGTCAAAGCCAAAAGATCAAAGCCATACGCTCATGGGGTATCTCTGACAGATCGATCAAAGCAGACACAAGTTCCAGCAAACTGCCTAGCATATCCCTTCCCACCTTTATCCACCTCCCAGCCGCACAGTCTCAGCACTTGATTCCGGCAGCAAAGTCCCCTTCAAGTCCCCAGCTTTTTTCGGGGCAAACAATGCCCTTCGCTACCCCAACGTCCTCCCAATCCACCTCCCAAATACTCAGGACAGCCATCTCAACTCCAGGCCCCTGCGGCTGTCCTGGCTCCCTCTTTTTAATCTTTCCCAACACCCTGGCCATCTTCCCCCTTCCCTTCTCACCAACAAGCTCCTTGGAATCATTGTCCCATATCCCGACACCTTTCCAGAGAGTGTACGTGCCATTAAGGTACGGCGGCTTGTCTGTGAATAAGTCTCCGAATTGGAAAAACTGCTTATACCCCCCACTAGCATCGCGCGAGGAGGACACGACACGAGCGTAGAGCTCTATGATGGCGTCGACGTTGGTACGTGAGGCTAGTGCGGCAGCGTTAAGAGCTTCTCCTATTCGAAAGCAGGTGCGCAGGACGGTGCGATTAGTGAAACCGAGGATTGGAGAGCGGTCGCGGATGGCCTTCGGGAAAGGGGGACGCATGAATGGTAGGGCATCCCTGTTGGAATTCATGGGCACAAGCTGTGGATCATCAATGGGGGATAACAGTATTCGAGACGATTTTGCTGGTGTGTAAGTCTTAGGTGAGAGCCACTGCAATTTTGGTGACAAAGGTGCCTTTGCAGGTGTTACAGGGGAAGTAACCTGGAGACTCTTGGATTCGTCGACCAGAAGATCGATGAGGCCATCATCTAGGTCATTGTCATCGAAGCAGTTCTCGGACCCTTCTGACGCTTTCGCGCGATGTGGGTTGGCATTGCCTGTGACGTGAGTTAAGATGCATGAGGCTTGGGAACTCCATTGGGGCGAAGAAGGGACGTCAATAATGTCGCTGGCCACTAAGGGCGGACCCTCGTCATACATGACTAGTCCATCCGAGTCTTGGATAGCTCCAGGCCAGTGCGCTTGCTCGTTGTCGAGCTGCTCATCAATATATAAGGTATCATCCAAGAACTCCTGCGGCCGCCACTCTGAGCCCAAGGGTTCTTCTTCCGCTGGGACCGCAATTGACTGCATCATCTCTTCGAGACACTCATCGTCCATGGGAAATTTGTTTTCTTCGCCACGATCGCCGCATTTGATATCGTCAACCTCACAGAGGTCGCCTGATATCGAGTCCAGGGGTTCGAAATCGTTTACCATCATTGTTCCCTGAGACCTTCGGTCTTGGAGAGTCGGAGAGCTTGTTTGAGTAAAGGGTGGTGCACCAAAGTCTTTGACTATAATGCTGCCATCGGACTCCAGGGTTTTCTGGATGGAAGGCTCAACATGATTGTATGGACTTGCCCGTCGTTCGATAGTGAAGTCTTGGCCATGAGACTGATCATTGTGGCTGAAACCTGCTTCGACTTCATCGCTTTTGGGAGGAGTGGGGGGAGTAGCTTGATTGACGACGTTGGCCCGAGTATCGGCATACGCAGCCTGATAGTTGTTGGCGAGTCCAGAAGGCTTGCTCTGTCTCTTCCTACCGTTGAACGCTGGCTTAACCTCACATTCGACTGATGTATCACGGACCCTCTGCAATTGCGGAATCTGTTTCAACAGAACATCTCCAAAGGGCAACCCAGCCTTCACAGGTAGCGCTCCATCTGGGGAAGACGTTGGCTTGGTCCTTGACAAGCCTTGCGAAATATCCTGGCAGTCCAGTTGTGCCGCTGTCCTGGCTCTCTTTGTCTTCTTGGAACTCGCAGCTTTTTTGGGCTTGGATGCTGTTGTAGCAGCAAATGTTTGAGTCTTCCGCCTCTTTGGAGCCCTGGTTTTGTCGGCTGACTTGGACATAATGGCAGCATCCTCGTGCTCCAAGTACATGGGAGCTGTGTCAGAATAGCCAAGGTGATTAATAGGTGTGAAGCCGGAGACTTTTGGCGCAGGATAATGATCATCTGAGGTCTCGTCCAGCATTGGCTCGTCCATGATCGCGGCTTCTCTCATCTCATGTAAATTCCATTTCCAAACTCTTTGCGCTATCATTCCTTTTTTCAATGCACCTCCAACCCCTCTAATCCCCACCTTAGCTCCTCGGCTACCAGTGTTCTCCACAGTAAATGTTTGAAGAGAGAATGTATCGCATAGGTTGAGAACTGGAGTGTGCCAGAGGCAGAGAGAGAGAAAGAGAGAGAGAGAGAGAGCTCGGAGAAATGCGGGTCACATATGCACCCCGCAATCCAAAAAGGGCTAAGTGCGAGGGTTTTGGTCTTGCCGAGCTCTGAGGTTCCCCAAGTCGAGTCGAAGCTCCATATCAAAAAGACATCCTTCTATTTTGACTGCTGGATACACTGTTATGTAATTTGCTTTGATAAACATGCATTTCTAGTTACTTCTAAGACCTTGTTGACAAGGTCTCAATAGACTCGGGAATAGCTCATTGAAATTGGACCTTGTCCCGATTTCGTCATCTTACCATCTCCCGTCCTTGTCCCACAGCAGCTGCTTACATTCAGAGAAGCCAGTCTCTCATGGTGATTGCACATAACAACTGTTGTTCTTGTGTCAAACTTCTGCTCATGTCAAACTTCTGCTCATATAAGTGTAACTGAGCTCCACGACTCGAGTCTGACAAGGAGAACAAAATGTTCTCGACTTCGGTAGGTGGCAGATAATGTACCTGTTTTCAATTTTTGGGCCCAAAACTATATCATGTTCTGTCTGCCTTCCGTCCTCGTAGAACATCATGCATAAGTAGCTTTCGTTTTGTCGTGGCCATATCATGTCTGCTAGGCATCTCAATCTCATCTACTTGCAGCTCTTCTGAATTTTCCATGAAGCTAATGCCACATGTCCTGGGCTATTAGAGCAAGCCATACTCGGCTATCACAGTCCAAATCAATCGTTTGACGAGCGAACACTATGAAGCGGATGATATGAGCGGGATCGTAGACCTGATCGAGGTCATAAGATTGCAAACCGGTGGTCCAACCGAAGCGGCACGAGCGATACGAAAGAAGCTGTAGGCCAAATCGTACATTGGCAACCAGTTTGAGCTTTGCTGAAATGATGTCGCAGTAAATATGGCAGCGTTGATCAACAACTACGAGCTCTCACGGTCCTGGATGGTCTCATCGAAAATGCTGGTCCCCGCTTTCAGCGAGCTTTTGCAGACGAACCATTATTAGAGCGCCTTCGTGTTTGTGCCACAGACTCCTTGTCGGACTCAGAGGTCAAGATGAAATGCCAAGTATTGTTCAGACAGTGGGCCGTGGCCTACCAATCCACCCAAGGCATGGAGCGCATCGTGGCTCTCCAGAAGCAGCTTCCGAAGAGGAAAAAGCCAGTCACCCAGGCACAGTCGAAAGTACTGCAAGAGACCGAACGAGAAGCAAACGAAGACCCTTTCGGCAGCACTGAAGACGAATCCATGTCTGGCGAGTCAAGCTCAATAGCTTCACCAAGCCTGACTCCCAGAAGTAACGCTGCCGCAAGCATCACGCCAACACCTAAATACCACCCCAAGAAATTGAAGCTTGACAAGCATAGCAAAAGATCGAGATCAAGAACCTTCAATCTTGAGAAGGAAAAGCCGCAACTCCTTCAAGCCATTGCCTCCGCCTCTGTTTCAAGCACCAACCTCATGAATGCCCTCAAGCTCCTGAACAGGGAAAAGCTTCGTGTTAGCGAACACGCCGAGACTGTGAACCGCTTCGAAACATGTAAAGGGCTGCGGCGACAGATATTGCGGTACATACAGCATGTTGAAAGCGAACAGTGGCTTGGTAGCCTGATCAATGCTAACGATAGCCTCGTCGAGGCTTTGATGGCATATGAAATTCTCGACAAGAGCGTCGACGACGATAGCGACAGCGAAGGGCAAGAGTGGAGCGACGACGAGCCAACAGCGAAACCTACGGGGTCGAAACCAGACAAACAGAAAGATACACAAGAAGCGTTTTCAAAGCTCAACATCGGTAAAAAGCCCAACCAGCCCCATCCGACGATGCTTTTAAACGGGCAAGGTGGGATACGGCATGCTGAGGATGACGATTCTGAGGAAGAGGAAGAAGATGATCCTTTTGCAGACAGTAATGCCGTGCACACGCCAAAGGCTGAACGGCCTGGCATGACTTGGTGAGAAAACCTTTTGCAATCAGGGCAGTCTTTAAAGCTCATAAATTGCAGGCGAGAGGTATAGGTTTGATTGACGAAGCGATAGCCGCTCGGGTTCAATGTACTATACTTACACCATGCCCTTGTGATGGCTTAAAGCCAATGGCTGCATGCAGAATTATGGATTTCCATGCTTGCTTTTCTAGGTCCCAGCACCTTTGGCTTGGAGATTCTGGCCCAATCCTTTCCCTGCAGAAGCCACCCATTTTTCCTACTCGGTTCTCCGTACCCCCACGCTCCCAATTCCACTTCTCAACTTCATTTCCTCCTCCTCGGCTCCCTTTTCCTTTCCTTCCTCCATCTCACTGCCCTCATCCACATCCCTTTTATGCGGTCCAACGCGGAAAGCCACCCAGATGGCGAAAAACAGAACGGCAATAGCGAGGATGAAGACCAGCCAGAGCATCGTCCTACATTTCTCTATTGGTAGGTGCATGAGCCAGTGAGACGCCGATGGTGGACTCGGGGAGGACGAGCCAGGGAGACATCGCCTCAAGTCTTCGCAGTCAAGTGGTTTCTTTTAGTATCGAATACAAGCTGTGCTGTAAGGTCTTCCAGTATTTAACTCCTGCGACAAGCGTTGCAGCCTGATGTACACAACGAATCAGGCAGCTAGGGTACGGCTTGAAAATGATGTCACATTACGGGTTCTGGAGGCTACAGCCGGTGTCCGCGGTGGGGATGGTCGGTGATGGAGGGAGAGCGAGGGGAGGTTGGGATTGCACATCATGTCATGTCATGAGAGAGAGTACCAATCATTGGGGCAAATTCCCGGTATGTTTGCGGTCGACGCATCCGGCAAGGAGCTGCAACGAAGAGCTTCGCGGCTGAAAAGAGTGGGATGGACAAAGCCGATGCATCCCATCCGATTGCGACTCCGGACACAAAAAGATTTGTAATCGAATATCTTCTTCTCGAGTCGGGCCGTGTTGGAAATGTTGTATCGTGCTTTCTGGGCCAGTGTGCGTCTCGGATAGGGCCACCGGATACCTACCCAGCGCCAGGAGGCAAGAACGGACGAAGTGGATCATACGACTGGATGCAGCATGTGGGGAATTAGTAAAGGATGCAGGTAGATGGTAGACATCTGTATAGATCGTATGGTGTATAAGCCAAAGAGAGGCCGGGTACGTGTGCGCATACGTATGTGGGATGCGTGAGAGAGGGAGGGCACAGAGCGTGGGTGAAGAGGCGGAGAGAAAGGGTGCTGGTCAAGACGGATGAAGCAGATGGGGTGGTATGCAGGAAGGAGGAGAGTTGCGGGGTGGAGGCCTGCGTCTGTCGTAGGCGTATTCGGAGAAAGTTTGAGGAGGCTGTGAAAGCATGTGAACATTGGAAGTCAGACTCAAGAGGACTTGGGAGGTAGTAGGGCATTAAGGGAGGGTGGAATGTGGAAAAGGATAGACGACGGGATTGGGTGCGCACTACCTGGCTGGTTATTATCAGGCCATAAGTCACGCCGATTCAAGCCTTGAACGATTGTACCATATGCATTGTTCTGTTGTATCTGCAGTATGTCTCTGACACGCTAGCTGATGGCCGCGTTGACATGTTCTCAGTGGTCAGGTAACAGAAATTAGTGTACACATTTTCCGCCGGAACACCTTCGCTATAACATTTCCGCTACAACGCTTCGTCAGTTGCTCGTAAAAATGTTGAAGGCTCGCATAAGAACGTTTTCTTCTCGTCTTCTACTAGACGCCCGATAACGCACTTATTATCCTCCTAGCTGTTTCCACGCCTTCACCTTCCCCTGATGGTAGCTCCATTCTCCTTCCCCTTTGACGGGGGCCTTGAACCCAATGAGCTGTCTCTACCGTTGCAAACAGGCCTTGACCCGAAAGAGGTCTCTCTGCCGTTTCCGTTTGACACCGTCCTCAATCCCAAAGCGGTCTCGCGTCCATTTGGAGTGGCCAGGGGCGAATTCTTCGGCAGCGGTAGCATACTAACGCGACGGCTGCTCGCCAAAGCCGTGCTTGGGCGCTGCGGTCTTGGTCTTACAGATGGACTATCTCCAGTAGGAACATCTGGAGGTGAGCTCGGTGTTAAGCCAAGGCGGATGCTCTCCTTCTTTGACGCGGTAGATGGGGGTGTCTTGTCCTTGAATTTCACCCAATCGGTCGAGTTCGCAGGTGAGGACCATGAAGTTTGACGCGTCCCAATGGAGCTTTGGGCACCAGATGCGATTCGTGGGCGATGCGACATGGTTGCAGTGACAAGAGCGGGTACTGGGGATGAACGACCCAACGGGCTGGGAAGAGCAAGACCAGGGGAATTTAGATGAGATCCAGCGCTGCTCGGAGAGCGGAAAGCCATTGAGCTCCTACGACTAAGCGATAAAGTAGAGTATGGTACTGGCCTTGGTTTCTGACCAAATTCAAAGTGGTCGACGTTTGGAGAAGAATTCCAGCGAGGCTTATTGTCAACTTGTGGCACGCTAGGTCGTTGGGACCAGCATCCTGGCGTAGTTGTAGGCGTAGGTGTGGCCGATGCTTGTTTGGCGTAGGGTGATGGTGATGCACCTCGAGATGAGGACCGACCGTCCGATGTGAAAGACCTAGACATTGGTGTTTTGCGAGGCAGCTGAATCGAGCCAGGCGATCCGGGTGGCATAGTAAAATTACGACGTGCACTGTTCAGGCGGGTGTTGCCATTAAACACAATGCTGCTTCTGCGGCTCAATCCATTCATGCCAGGAGACTCATCACGCTTGTTGCCACTTGTTGGGCCCATAACAACAGAGGATGCAGGCGAGCTGCCGGGGGTGTCAACAGCACTACCATTTGCAGATCGGTCCAAGGAACGGTCCATGGACATGATACTAGAAATAGAGTCACGCAGCTGTTGATTCTTGTTTATGGTCAGATCATCCAAAGCCAGGTTCATGTTTTTCATCTCGGAGTTAGTGCTCTGCCATCTAGCTTTTGTGTCCGACTGCAGCCTTAGAACCTCGCCATTAACAGTGAAACGGTCAGTAACACCTTTGTCAATGATTTCCAGAACCTTCTCAATTGCTGGTCCGTAATGAATCTTCTTTGCCTCATAGGCCTCCACCTTCTTAGCTAGCAATGGAGGATTGCTGTGCTGAGCCCCTACATCGATAGCTTCTTGAAGCTTGGTGATAGCGCGCTCGATTGACTCGCAGAGCTTTTGAGCTTGCCTTCCAGCGTTGCGGAACAGAAGCACCCAACGATCCTCGCCGAGCTCTTGCCTCAGACGTTGAGCATCGCGTTCTAAAATCTTCCACTTCTTCTCTAGGCTTATCCTCCTTGACTCTAACTCCTGGCAAGCTGTAGGCAGCACTGGCTGTGCTTTAGCGTGAAAATTCGACAGAGTCATTGGAAGAAAGTCCAATGAGGCCCGAAGTGGCTGCATGCGAGCGAAGAGAGCCAGAAGTCGGTCATCTTCCGGTGCCATGCCGGTTCCTGGCGACTCCATTGGTGAGCTTGGTGGTAGAGCATTTGATAAGCTAATGCGATGGCTTGTTGTCTCCCTCTCGCCCTCTTCCACTATGGTGTCAAGCTCCTGCATGTCAAGAGCTCCGATGCTCTCAGATGGATCTGCGAGCAACGCTTTGTGCCTCGCCTCCTCCATCTCGAAGACCAGTCTGGACAGGTTTTCCACCTCCAAACCGATATCTCCGAGTACAATATTCCATAACTCTTCCCATTCCATTGCCAGTTCAACCTGTCGTTTGATGCCCTTTAGTGACCTCCGCACGCTCTCCCAGCCCTCAAGGATTCTCTCCATCTGATCAACGACAGCGGGCAGCTGCTCTTTAGGAATATCCGAGATGTCGTCTCGATCCTGCAGGTCTTCAATCGCTGTGACGTACACCCCAATAAGGCTTTCGAATTTCTCAATCGCCGTTTGAACCTCCCCAAGCCCTTCTCGCCCTCCGGCAGCCGCCCATTCCACGTCATCTTCGGCATCAAGTCCACTCAAGACCTCCGTTGCCTTCTGGAGCCATCGTCTGATCTGGTCTGCTGCGCCGCTGAGAGTGGTCGCGGCGATAGGAGCTGTAGGTATGCAGGAGATGCTGCTAGACAGCGAGGTCGCATTGGGTAAAGCCAGGGAAGTCAACTGTGAAAGCTGACTTGTGAGCGATATGCGTGAGAGTGAGTATACCGAATTCGCTCGGGATGACCTTATTGAGTTCAAAGAGTTGAAGTACGACTCTGCATCTACTGGCGACACAAGCATCTGCTGCGAGGATATTCCCCCAGAAGATGCCACGGGCTCGTCATCCTCTGAACTGCTGACAGGTAGGATGTCTTCTGGCTTCTGCGCACCGGACTTGAATGTTGTGGTGGATCCATTGCGGGCTTTCTTCGATAACCCTGTCAGTATGTTATAGCCCGTCATCATAGACCAGCAGATGTGTCTCTTGTGAACTAATTGTAAAAGTCGTGGTCTAGTTAAATTTGCATGAAAGGGTTTCCGAAGTGTCCTTCTCTATTTCCCTGAGAGAAAGAAAAGTTTTCTCTTCAAGGTTGTTCCTTTCCACCCAAACTGTACGTTTGCTTCTCTTTTCTCCGCCTGCCGGTAGGATCAGGGAGTCGATTTCGTGGTCAAGCCGCAGCTTCGTTTTTCGAATGAGCGGCTATAGCACTTTCAAGCAAGATAACTGGAGCTCATACTGCACCATGCTTCATGAGCGTCAATGCCGGAACGTTGTAGGCCGGAGCCTCTCTGGCTGGCGGTGTTGGAGGGCTGAGAGTAGGAAGGTCGAGGTTTGTGTTCAGCCGACCGGGTACAGCTTTGATCTCTGAAGATGTGGCAGGAGTTTGTCCCTGTGTGTAGTGCATGGATTTCTCAAAAGCAAGGGGGAAATCTGCTGTTGGGGAAAAGAGTGAACGAGGTTCCCGGCTGGTGTAGGTAGCTGCAGGGGCCGTGTTGAAACCCGAATTCACGCGTTTGAGAGGCCGCAAGAGCTTTTCATCTGATTGCGAGCAAAGCAAGGCAAACGCGAGATAAGTGGCTTGCTATGCAAGCAAAGTTGCAGCGCGATTCAGCTAGGGAGTAGAAGTATGGGCAAAGGTCTGTATTTTATGAGGGTTGGCGTAGGTGGGCAATTTCATATTGACAGCCGCAGCTCTACGGTTGACCATTGTATCACAGCCCCTCTTGAGTTAAGCACTACGGACGACTTCTGTGTCTAGGCAGGTCTCATCTGCTGCATTTGGATTGCCGTGCATTTGAATTGCTATTCTATGGAAGTCAAGATGGTGAACCGGGGGTATCAAAACAAATCTGTCGTCAGGAAATGGGAACATTGCCCGCCTTGTGCACAGCACCTCTCAACTGATCAAATCTCCAACAACATCTGTTCATAGCCATCATAATCTTCATGATTCATTGCACTCATTCATGCCAGTTCTTTGATCTACGGGAAACATCGTCTGCTGGTTTGGCCGTATTGTTTCTTCCTTGAATTCTTTTGTGAGCTCTTCCCTGACTGTTTTGCTCCATTGAAGGATGGCTGTATCAAAGTCCATCCAAGCCCCACTCTTTGCATTTACCACTCCCGAGACATTGACTTTCAGCTTGGTTTCCCACCGGATCTCGGCCGCTTTGATCCAATAGCGGAGATTCTCAGAGCAGCGGTAGGGTTTGGCGGTGTCGGTATGGAAGGATTTGATGTCGCCAAATTGCCTCCTGGATTTCTTCAAAAGAGCATTGTGCAGATGAACTAGGGTCAGCCCGCTCCGTAATGTTTCCAGGAATGGAGTAGGTGTCTGGGCAGAGTCTTCAAAAGCTGTCCATTCGGGTAGGCTGCCCTCAGGTAGGAACGAGCATAAGAAAAGCCACTCTCTTTCACGTTCTCGACCCTGCCAGGACCCTTCAAGCCAAGCCCAGCTGTCTTGGGTTTTTTTCTCCTGCTCGTCCATTGCTGCTTCTTTGCTTAGAAAGGCTTCTATGCCTTCCACCCAATCCTTCATAATCCTCAGTTCTTCCTCCCTCATCCCACCAGCAAAATTTCGGCCAGCCATCCTTTTCAGCACATCGAGAACACTAAGAAGTTCTTCACGTATCTGACGTTCCGACTTGATGCTGTACAGTCGGTGCGGGTCTTCGTGGGAAGTGTAGTAGATTTTCGCAGCGCGAATCGCCAGGGTGACAACATCCAATATGTGCACACCTTGTATCTCATACCAGCCTGACGACTGTGAAAACGACGATGATACGTAATTTTTGTTGTCTACGTCAGGAGAGTCGCTTTCTGGTTCCAGCTTTCGTTGTTCGTGGTCCTGCTGATTTTGATCTTGAATTTCTTGTAACGCCTTTTTGGCATCAGCCAGAGTGGTCTTGAGATCATGCCTGAGCGTTTCTAAATCTGGTGGCGGAGGGATATACTGGACTCTGTGACTGTAGGTGCTGACTGTTGGTGGCAGCATGAGTGGTTCTCCTGGGTCCTTATCTGCTGCCTCAGAAGAGCCATTGCTGCCGTCTGTGTCTCCTCCTAAGTCTGGGCTGGCACGAATCCTAGGAAGGATATTTGTGAATGGCTTCTCAAAGCCGTTTTTGTTTTTCGATCCTTTTGCCAATTGGCCTCCCTTGCCGTCTAATAAGCCAGTGCGGGCGAAGTAATATTGGAGATGAGCAATGCTGCCCAAGCTAAGAACACTATCTCTGTTCCCAGCCGAAGGGGCGAATGAAACACCTTGTGGCCGGACATAGCCTCTTTGGCGGACAGCGCCAGATGCAGAGACAGAACGAGAGGTTATGGATGGTTGAGAGCCCGTAGAAACCGAGGAAGTGGTTGATGAATTAGCGGAGAAAGATCGACTCAACGGTGGACAGGCAGATAGTGCAGGCGTAGGAGATGTTGACGGAGATGGTGAGGAGTCTCTGGTAAAAGGTGGGGAACAAGAGGCATTGCTTTCGGTTAATGGACTGATTGCCATGACTGGCAAAGGCGAATTATTGCTTACATGATCATACATGATCGTGTATAGGTAATTGGGGTTATGGACGACCACAAGAAGTGTACAGAGGCATGAACAGGAAGACACTTCACTTAACCATTGATCTTACTGACGAAGCCAATTTCTTGCCTGTTGTTGAACGAAGTGTGGAGTCGGGCCAACAGGGGCACTAGGGTCCAGGGGTGAAACTCAGCGCGACGCGCTTGTAAAGGGACATGCCGGTGTTTAACCTCGGAGTCGGAACGCGTTTTACCGCTATGGCTTGTCCACAATTCTACAGGTTGTGAGTCTGCGAAAGAACATGCACCTTTTCGGTGGAGCGACAGAGCAGGGTGGAATTGTGCCACTATGGATATAGGCAATTTCTTCTAGCTGTGGTGGTGGCTTCTCTTTGGGTTCTAAGCTATGCCCTATCGCTAATTTCCTGATCCATTCGACAGAAAGGATTAGATTCACTGGGTCCCAAAGGATTTCTCTCCTTCCTGCGCAAATACCCCAGTCAGCATCACTTCTTCGATCCAGGAACCCGAGTTCTAGAGAAAATCTGGGAATAGAAAGAACGGGACCCTCCCGAAAGATTCCAGTGACTCTGCTTTGGGACCAAGTAGGAAGAAAACGCTCTGAAATGACAGACCTCTGTCTTGATCTCTTCCTTCTCTACCTTCACTACGTGTGCCGCACCGGGCCCATTGTTGAGCTCCTTGAGGAATGACTTGATGCTGTCTTCCGAGCCTTGCGCTTCCCCAGCTACCTACACCGCCGACTGTTAGTCACTAAATTCGATAGATCATCATGTTGACGTTTGGGAAATGGTTCCTTGCGGTATCTTGTTACGTGATAGCCCATCTAAGAGGAATTGTGGATGGAAGAGGTGCAAAAGAGCAAGCAAAAATAGTGAAAGGAGCAGGAGACAAATGAATAACGCTTTAAAGAATTACCAGGAGCCCGTACCTTATCGTCCGAAGTATTCGCAACAAAGCCCGTTAGGTTCAGGGACTTTGCTTTTGATTGAGTGAACGATCTGTCAAGTAAGAAATAGTCAAACATGGCCTATCCTACATTTTGTGAAACCGGCGTTGCAGTATGCCTACCGAAAGTTGACACCTGCTAACAGTCAACAGCCTGAGCTAATCGGGGCCTCAGAATGAGATAATGACAAACCCTGCACTGTGCCATGTACTGTGTAGGAAATCTGTTCGAAGCGAAGATCAGCTGGCTAACCCTCTTCATCAATGCCTCCACCCATGCATACACGTTGTTGAGACATTGTGCCGGCAGTAGTTGAGAAGAGTCTTTGCATCAATGTACTTTGGGCGTCAAGTCGTGGAGAAATCAGTAGAGCGGTTGCAATGTGCCCTCAATTTTCTTTCACGTAGTCTCAGAATTCAGACTCTACTTACTTTGGGGGGGGGAATGGGGGGGGGGGCGGAACATTATTCTGCCGAGCCGGTTCGGTCATACCCCCCTGTAGAAAGGTCATTGCTGAAACTTGCACGTGACGTCAACTGTACGCGCTGAAACTTCAGTACTTCATTGTCTTCACGAATGCCTTATATTTGGAAAGCTCTTATGAATGGCAGGCCTGTTATCATCTACTAAACTCTCTCAATATCTATTAATGCTCTCTAACGTCGCCTGTTGGGCCCTCCAGTGTTGGCTCGATCGGCCATGCTAACAACATCCCCAATACCAGCCTCTTCTTGCCTCTCTTCTTCCGCTGTGATCTCTTCCCTGCTGTCCCACCATCTAGTCTCCGCTAGATCAAATGCCACCTTCCTCAACTCTTTGATAGAATTATTCGCGCCATCACTCTTGCTATGCAATTTCTCAAGAACAAGCTCTTGCCATGAATTCGAAGTCCTAGAGAAGAATTCGCGAAGACTTTCAAATGCTCGCGGGTGAGGCCTCGTGTCGATCAATGTAGTTTCTGGCTGTTCATCTTCAGTCTCATCCATGTGCTCCTCTGCCAATGGTATTTCCGTAGACTTTGTTGGGATCTCTGTTGGTAGCAGAGCCACACCTGACGGCGTGTCTCCCTCCATGTCTTCATCTGTTGAACCGAATTCTTCCTCTCCATCGGAACCCGATTCGCTCTCCGAATCGTCGACTTGCCAATTTTCGAGTTCCCTTCTGTAAATTTCTTGAATGCCATCAAGTTTACCGAGATCGACGGCGTGCATCTCATCAAAAGTATATTCGCGATCACCGCGCTCATAGGTGCCTCCAAAGATATACAATACATCACCTTGAACGGCCAGCTGGGCGTTGAACCTGGGATGAGGCATGGTGCTTTGGACTGGTTTGGCTGCCTTAGGCGGCGACTCTTCTGCCTCCAACATGGGCTCTGTATCTATAGTATGTGAATCCGCAATGGTTCCCTTTGTTTCCAGTGCCGCAAGGTTGCGGAGCAACTCAGCTTCATCTGCTTTGCTTCTGCCTCTTCTTGCACCACGATCTTCCATCTGCTTCTTGGGAGCAATTTTGGCTCGCCGCAATGTTAGGGGGAAAAATCTATTACGCTCGATGTTGAATGCAAAAAGTTGGTCGAAGAATTCGCTGTCGATGCCTTCATCACTCTCTTCGACATCGTGAACTCTTGATGATTTCGGAGTCAGCATTACTCTTTCGGGAGGAGTTCTGGGTCGCGAGACATGTCTTAGGAGCAGAGGACTCTTGAGAGACGTCGGATGACTCATAAGACAGCGTGAATGGGGAAGAATTGCCTTGGAGATTATAACGTACCCACCAAACATAATGCCACGACCTTTGTGATAAGCCTGGGTCACGCCTGCTCTGGGTGGATTCGGCGAATTTACCGGTTTCTTGCGACGTTCCCATCGCATTGTTGGGGCAGCGCTGCTTGTTGCATCTGTAGCTGCTGGCTCGATTCGAAGAACCCAAGTGTCTTGATGTATTGTCGGTTTCAAGACCGATTTCGATGATTGAAGGCCTCCTTTAGTCTGTTTGCCGGCGGTAGTGTTGGCTTTGACCCTTGAATAGCCGCCAAATAAGACAGCTCCTGCGTCATGTGGAAGAAAGGAGAACGAAGACCTCGCATCAGGCTTCTGAGGCAGCAAAGGATTGTGCCACACGTAATTTTGACAGTCATAAACCCAAAGATCTTGTAAATACTTGGTTACCTGGGAAGTATCCTGGAACCCTCCAAACAGGATTATGTAGTTCTAGGTCGATTGAGCAGCTGCTAGCTACCGTAGTCTAGATCTGTGAACTTACTTTATAATATACTAGCCTATGTCCGCTTCTCGCAGGCGGGCTCTTACCTTTACTTTCTAGTCTGGTCCACTCTCTAGTGGATGGTTCTAGCCTCCAGAAGTCGTTGTAATGGTAAAAAGTACCCTGTTTCGGTGACGAGAATTCGCCTGATCCCAAATTAGCGAGCCTGATATAGCAAGGGACTCTTTCCGTCGGGTTGATTCCCAGGCATACCCCCAAATAGATACACGCCGCCTGCATTGCCACCTCGACACCATGCATGCCCACTTCTAGGCAAGGGACTATTGGGGCTCGTCACTTTTCGCCATTCGTCTCTTTCAACGTGGTAGATAAAAAGGTCGTTGAAGAACGAAGCAAGAGCGCCGTTGTAATACTCGCCCCCAAAAAGAAAAAGCTCCTTCACATTGGAAGGTGAGCCGATGAGAGTTGCTGATGAACGAGGAGATGGAGCTTCGCAAAGAGTCTCCGTGACTTTGAGAAATTGGGCTTGCTAATTTCGTGAGTGGCTTGAGACCATTCCAGGATGCCTTAGAAGAGAAGTTACCCACTTGTTTGGCGTACTCTTCTAGCAATGATTCCAGGTCGACATCTTCAGCGTCACTATCGTCCGCTCCTTTGGGCTTGACTTTCTTTTCTTTTTGGGCTGTCTTTTTGCTTTGTTTGGCAGCAACGCGAGCTTTCTTCTCAGCGTCTTTGGATTTCTTATCCTTCTTAGCCATGACCGTTTGATGGACGCACAGTATCACTCAAGGCTTATCAAGCCGGGTATTGAACGTTTGTGATTCTTTAAAACTTTGGGGAATTAAAGATCTGTGCGTATCAAACGCTCAAGTCATCACCAGAGCTGGTCCAAGAAGCGCATATTATTGATGCGTGGAGTCAGTTCAGAATGCCTTCTTCAACTCCAGATTCAGATCCTACGACGAATTGCACGTGACTTCGTACTAGCGGCAGAATCCGGAGGGCGCGTCTCGTATTACACGCGAAGTGGAATTTCGCTCGCAATTCCACCTCTTCCATATGAACTCGCTCAGAGGAATTTCGGTCTCAAGATCTTGATGGCTGCTTTCCCCAAAGCAGCTATGACTAGATTCTATGACTAGACATAATCTAAATCAGCACCTCCATTGGCTTCTCGGATCTTCACTTACTGAACCCCCACAGCCAGCGTACGCCCCACCACTCACTTCATCCGTTGAAGACGCCTCGTCGTTGCCTCAAGAAGTCGAGCGTCTTGGACTAGATACGATTGTTGAGGAGGCCAACAGTAATGTTCATAGCTCAGCAAGACAGCCAGAATTTGTTCGACCAACTTTACCAGCAAGTGTTCTTAACACTCAAAGCCGGCATGAGATGGCACGGCTGCAGTCTGGACCCAAATCGAGCAACAAGCCTCGATTATTGAGCGAGCACATACCCGTCGCACTCCAAATTCCAGCACCTACCTCTATCCGAAGGCCTGGGACGTCTCTCAAGGACCAGTACAGTGCTCAATGGGAGCGTAGACCTTCAGGTACGGAAGGCGGATTCTAGTGCGAGTTTGTGAGCGTGGCTGACAAACACCCAGACTCTACGCTGGATACGACAAAGTCTGCTGCTAAGAGGCACACAGCAGATACGCTTAAGGCACCTGTCCCAAGAGGTCCCCAATCTCGTTATGAAGCTACCTCCCTTGACCTCACCCGAGATGAACTACATACATCCTCATCCAGTACGGTCGAGACTTTTGGAGAGTCAAGGGCCAT